CTTAGAGTCCCCAATTTCTTGGTTGTAAGCAAGCAATTCTTGCAAAGGGATGGGGGATGTTTGCACAAGGATCATCGAGTATGATGTTAGGCTAAAAATGGGATCTTTTGCAAAATAGCCTCAGAGTGGAACAAGAGAAGGCCTGGTCAGAGCAGCTGTGAGGGACCAGCCCAGATGGAGCACATTCAATGGGAACCCGGAACATGCAGGAGTGAGGACATCAGGCACAGTAACCATTTGCCACATGTGACTGTCAAAGATTTGAAATCCACTTAGCCTCAACTGAGATGTAAAACATAAACCAGGCACAGTGGCACATGCCTATGATCCCAGCTAACTCAGAAGGCTGAGGCAGGCAGATCACAAGTTTGAACCCCAGCCTGGGAAATTTTATGAGACCCTGTCTCAAAATAAAAAATAAAATAGGGCTGGGGAGGTAGCCCAGGGTAGAGTGCCTGTGAGTTAGGTCCCCAGAATGGCAATAAATGAATAAACAAATAATAAATAAAATCATACTGGATTCCAAAGTGGCCAGGGATTTAGTTCAGTGGTGCCATTGCCCGCCTTGTAAGCGCAAGGTCCTGAGTTCAATGCCCGGTACCGCCCCCCCAAAAAGACAACAGCTGAATTCCAAAGCCTTAGTATGGGGGTAGGGTGAGCTAGTTCAGTTTTGGGCATAGTGGTGCACACCTGTCATCCCAGCACACAAGAGGCTGAGGCAGGAGGATCACAAGTTTGAGGCCAGTCTGGGCTACACACTGAGTTCAAGACCAGCCTGAATTACATGAGACTGTCTCAAAAAGAATAAATAAAATAAAATAAAATAGGCCACTAATAATTTATTAAATTTTAATACTGACTATCTGTTGAAATAATATTTAGAGACATTGAGTTAAATGAATTGTGTTGTTAAAATTAATTGTTCCTTTTTTTTTTTTTGAGTGCTAGGGATAGAACCTAGGACCTCAAACATGATAGGCAAGTCTTCTATCATTGAGCTACAATCCCAACTCCTTTATTTTATTTTTCAAAATGATTACTAGAAAATTTGAAATTATATGTATGTCTTCTGTTGTATTTTATTGGACAGTGCTGCACTAATCTCATCAACCACTGCTTTTTTAAAAAACAAACAAACAGGGTTTCACTGTGTAATTCAGGCTGGCCTTGAATGCACTATGTAGCCCAGGCTGTCCTCGAACTCAAAGCTATCCTCCTGTCTCAGCCTCCCAAGTGCTGGGATTACAGGTGTGTGCCACCTCGCCTGGCCAACCATTGAACTTTAATCAGATACTTACTTTCCCCAAGGAAGGATGAAGATATGAAAACCATTTATAATAACTCCGGTTTTTACAAGGCTGGCTACTTGCCAGGCACTTCACACTGATTTAGTAACTTACCCTAGGTCAGAAAGCCTGTCAGTTCACATCCAGAACCTCCTTTATTAATCAGGAGGCCAAACTGCCGCCCTGGCAGCAAAGACCTGTGAGTGTTTGGGGCACACCACAGATGCATTCTGTGTTAGTTACTTTTCTCTTGTTGCTGAGACAAAATACCCGACACCCAAAGTTGGAGGGAAAGGGGTATGTTTGGCTTATAGTTCATAGATGTTTCAGTTCATAATCTGCCGACAAGGCAGAGATAAACAACATGGCACTCACAAAATAACAAAGGTAACACAAGAGACCTTCACTGTGCCTTTCTGCCCCTTTTATCTTATTCAGACTACGGGGGTTAGGGTAGTGCCAAACTAATCATTCACAAGTAGTGGTTTAGTAATCACACACCCTTAACCCCAGCATCACACATTCCAGATTCAACTACCTCTGAAAAAGAAAGTTCACCTCATCTTCATGAGGCTTTGGGGCAACACCTAAACACAAGCCATAACACATGTAACACATGCTATAACACAGTATAACATGCCAGCTGAAGGAGTTGTCACACAGCACAGAGTACCCAAGTTAAAAACCCACCACCCTTGCTGGGCATGGTGGCACATGCCTATAATCCTAGCATTCAGAAGACTGAGGCAGGAGGATTGCTTCAAGTTCAAGGCCAGCCTGGGCTACATAATGAGTCCAAGGGCCAGTCAGGACTATATAGCAAGACCCTGTCTCTCTCTCTCTCTCTCTCTCTCTCTCTCACACACACACACACACACACACACACACACACACACACACACGAAGTAATTTAAAAAACCACCCTCAGGGAAAAAACAAAACCAACTAAAACAAAAAAACTCAATAAGGTCATATTGAAACAAAACCCACAAACCCACCCTCAGGGAACACTTACACTCTTAAGTATTTTTTAACCTGATTAAAAGACATAGCCATAGTGAGTTTAAGGTCTGCCTGAACCACAGAGTAAGACTGTCAAAAAATAAATAGGGCAGGGGATTTACCTCAGCAGTTCTGCCGCCTGCCTCAAAAGCGCAAGATACCAAGTTTGATCTCTGGTACCAAATAAATAAATAACTGACGTAGGCAGGCATGGTGGCCCATGCCTGTGATCCCTGCACTCTGGGAGGCTGAGGCAGGAGGATAGAAAGCTCTAGCCCAGCTTGGGGGACTCCGTGACTTAGCAAAACCTCTCTGAAAAAAGCTTGGGTATATAGTTCACTATGCAGGCCCTGGGTTCAATTTCCAGTACAAAAGAAAAAAGAAAGGAAGGAAAGAAGAAGGAGTAAGTGATGGCAATCTATCCTCTGCCTCCACCTCCCATCTGAGATTACAGGCATGATCCACTGTGCTCAGTTTAGATTTGAAAAATCTTGATATCTGGGACCTACCCATAGAGAATTTCTTATAATTGGTATGGTTTGGACCAGGGCTTTGAGATTTCCAGAATCTGCACAGATGATTCTAGCCTGCAGCCATGTTTGAGAATTTAGGAATAAAAAGTGAATTTAACCCCAGCTCTGCCCTCTGCTGCTCCTGTCCAGATCATGACCATTTGAGGCTGTGCTGACGACCAAATGACCAAGGGCTGCTGGAGTGAACAGAGTGAACAGTGTAAGTATGGAAGGGCCATAGAGAATTTCAACTTGGGATCTTTCTGGATTGGTATCTTTTTAAAAACCAGCTACTTTAGGGAAATTCTGTTGTGGGCTTTTTAAATTTTTTAATATTTATTTATTTATTTATTTATTTTGGAGACAGGTTCTCACTATGTAGTTCAGGCTGGCCTTGAACTCACTATGTAGCCCAGGCTGGCCTCAAACTCGAGGCAATCCTCCTGCTTCAGCCTCCCAAGTCCTAGGATTACAGGCATTTGCCAACATGCCCAGAGAGTTGTCCTTCTTTATAAACCTATACATGTGACTCCTGGCTGAAAAATACATGGGGCACAAAGCCCCAGGACCATTTTCCACTTTGCGGGATTCTACATGGTGGTTGAACTCTGCCCTAGATTTGGTGTCTGACCGCACGGCAGGAGAGCTGGGCTGGCCCCTCACTAGTGCAGGGCCAAGATGGCCAGCTGTGCTGATGACTCCAGCTTTGGTTTTTGAAGTATTTCCACTAGCAGTTTTCTCTTTCTTTTAATGGTACAGGGTATGGAACCCAGGGCCTTACACATGCTAGGCAAGCACTGTACCACTGAGCCACATCCCCAGCCAAGACATCACCTTAGGAACAGAAATTTCCATCTGTGTCCTCTCAGCAGATCAACTTATCTATTCCCCACCCACCCACCATGTAAAGTATCTGGGGAAATCAGATCTGGGAGAAACTTTGATCTCTTTATCTGGCAGGCACAAGGATAGCATTGCAAAGGTATAGAGGCGGCATTTAGGCTATGGGGGAAATGGCAATAGAATGAAGGAAAGAACCTAGGCAGAATGAGAGGGAGTCCTCTTTGGAAGGGAATATTGTCACAAAGTTGTGAAAACAACATCCTATGGCAGTCACTTAGAAAGAATGTGGTGTCTGACTTGGTGGCAAACGTCTGTAATCTCAGCACTCAGGAGGCTGAGGCAGGAGAATTGCCATGAGCTCAAGGCAAGCCTGGGCTACATAGTGAGTTCAAGGTCAGCCTGAACTACATAGCAAGACCCTGTTTCAAAAAAAAAGGAGGATCGGGGCTGGGGATTTCGCTCAGTCATTCTACCACCTGCCTTGTAAGTGCAAGGTCCTGAATTTGATCCTTAGGACCTCAAAAAAAGAGAATCAAAAATTCCAGCTCAGCCTGGGCAATTTAGTGACTTAGCAAGACCCTATCCAAAAATTAGGAATAAAAAGGGCTGGGGATGTAGAGCCCCCTCAGTCCAA